CATGGACTTTCGTACGAACAATCTCTCTCTCTGGTTTACTGTGAATTGTGTGGAGATAATGATATTGTTTGGTTAGCTTTACTTAATAACTAGGCCAGTAACATATTTTATTCTGTTTTAAGTTTTTTGTTTGTTAAATGTTATTGTTTCGTTTAAAACAATAATAGATAAACGTGAAAGCCATTCTCAAACGTAAAGATCGTATAAGTAGGACGGCTAAAAAAGAAGTGTAACAGAGATTTGTACATTTTGTCTTTGTCTAGGATAACAGAGGGTAAGCAACAGCTTGCAAATAGATTAAAAGCTATAAGCTAATAGATAAATAATTTATAAATAAAAAATCTTTTAAAACAAAACGTTTTTAAACGGACTAAAAAATAGAAAACAAATTAATAAATATGTTTAGAGTATAAATACTTAGTAATAATACATTAGTTCAATAGGTGAAGGTAATTGTAAATTATCTATTGCATGCATCCCACATTTTTCGTTTGAAATATTACAAGTATTTATACTCTAAACATATTTGTAAATTATTTTCAACTTTTTAGTGCGTTTGAAAACGTTTTGTTTTAAAAGATATTTTATTTATAAATTATTTTCTTCTTTTTAATTTTTTAATGTATATGTGGGTGTTAAATCTATTTCAATCATCTATATCAGATTAAGACAGAGGCATGTGAGAAATCAAAGGTTTATTTGAGTTTCTTTCATATAATTATGTATTAGATTGAATGTATAGTATTGAATGTACCTTCTAACTATAAATATATCAATCTATTTAATTTATTGTTTACTTTATAGAATACAAAATAAATAAAAATTGACATTATTAACTAACATCTTTATATCTGCATCGGATTGTTTATCTTTATTTTGAAATGTTTGTTTGTATAAATAATCTCTTGGGAGCATAACCTGTACCTCTTAACCTCTGCTCTCCGAACTGTCAAATTTAAGTATTTACAGCTGACTTAAATTAATTAACAACAAATTAAACAATTCAAATTAATTAATTAACATGGAAAATTTTGAGCCCCATAGTTCGTAGCCCAAGGGAAATATGGAAATTAAATGATACAATATTGCATTTTCATCCATTTGTGAGCTGTACTTGTTTCAAATTTCAAGTCTCTAGTTCATCGGGAACTTAGTTTGAAATTGATATCAAAATTTGTAGGAAAGCAAGCTAATAAAAAGAAGCCAATGGGGCGTAACCCAAGGGAAATATGAAAATTGAATTATATAATATTGCATTGTCATCCATTTGTGAGCTATGTTTCAAGTTTCAAGTCTCTAGCTCATCGGGAAGTATCCAAATTTGCAAGAAAGCGATTTAATAAAAATAAGGCCATGGGGCATAGCCCGAGGGAAATATGAAAATTAAATTATTTAATGGTACTTACGTATTATACGGAGGCCACTTATTTTACAGCGCGCTGCGGCGGTTAGGTTAGGTTGGGTTATCATAAGTTTTTATGACTCATCTCGTATAGTTCGATTCATAACGAAACTAGGAAAGTTCTACAAACATATTTATGATAACCCAACTTAACCCAACCGCCGCAGCGCGCTGTAAAATAAGTGGCCTCCGTATAATACGTAAGTACCGATTTAATATTGCATTGTCTTCCATTTTTGTGAGCTATGTTTCAAGTTTCAAGTCTCTAGCTCATCGGGAAGTTAGTATAAAATTGATTTCAAAATTTGTACCGGACAAGAAAGCGAGCTAATAAAAACGTTTTAATTATTAAAAAACGTTTTAATAATATAAGACATCAACGCATTAAAGCACACCAAAAGTCTACATTTCAATTGTTATCAGCTGATAACTGTGGATGATCAATTTCCAAAGAATAATTTGTAATATGTATTTTATGGTATTTTTTTAGTGAGGCGGCAAAATATTCCACTTTTTCCTAAGATCATCCAACTCCAGCTGTTTACAAAGCACGTCCACGAGTGGCCTTATTGTGGAAGAGATGGGACTGAGTGAAAACAAACCTAACTCAACCGTAGCTAATTTAATTTGCGGAACCACTAGGTATACCACTAGAGCTACCACACTACAAGCAGATGAACCTGATAACCTTTAGCTCAGCTGTTACGTCAGCTGTGCTGGTCCGGAAGTAGATTGTAAACACATTACGTGTTTATTAGTGCGAGAACTGACAAAATGGAGAAGAAAGTAGCGCCATTTGTAGAGGTCGAACCTGAAATTACCATAATTATAAACTTCCCGTCCACATTTGGACAATGGGAGGAAGACATGGAATCCCCGACCACTTACGCTTACTTCCGATGCCGCTATTTTTTTGAAATGATATATTTCTGTGGGAAAACTGAAGTACAAGACAGTGTTGTGTCAGCCGTTCATTCAAGAATGGCTATCACTTGATGCCTGTAAACCACGATGTTAAAAATTCACTTGTTCTCTGGGAACAGATTAGTCAGATTTATGTCTATCTGGATAAAAATGCCAAATATTTGTTGGATGGTTTCGGTTTTATGATTCAATAATAGGTGTTCATCTTTTTTATTCATCGTTGACACCAAGATTGATTTTTTGACAGTATAAAAATAGGTTAACACCTTAATTAATCCTTAATGTTAATTATACCTTAATGTTTATAAATCCTAATTTGTAGTCTGGGATGTTCATAATTTTTAATTTTTAATCTAAATAGTAGTAGGTGCACATTTTAACCCGAATATGATTCAAGGAATAGTGTAGACTGGAGTAAGATGATCTGTGTAGCTTTAGATACTGATCAACTGTTTTACTAGCCAGTATCATTAAAGCCCAAACGACCAGGGACAGTTGGGTCCAGTTTCGAACCATCAAAAAGCTTATTTTCTCAGGATCGATTCGGAAACCTCTTGTTAGGTGAGCACTGTAAACGTAAACACTCATGATATACAACCAATTGTTGTTCATGGGCAATGCTGAATTCACCGATGTCCCCAGGTCTTGTGAGTTGCGCAATAGCTAATTACCGCCAATCGATCGTTATAAGCTAATAGCAGACTCCTTAGTTCTTCCTCCTGCTTTCTCCATTCGCTTGGAGCTCTGACCCGTCACTCATCTCCGTGTGGAGTCGGTAACAGGGTGTGTACTGTGTATTTACCTAGTCCAAAGGGGAGGGGGAGGGTCCATATTCAGCAGCTTGATTTCAATACCGTTCATCATAGATCACTTATCAAAAATGATTCTTAGCTCTGATTCATCACAGAGAAGTAACGAACTTCCTTACTTCCCCGTGGGTTCATCGTTCATCGAATGATAGAACCCAACAGTAATCCAATAACATAACGCAATATGAGTTAATGTCCTGCTACTGGAACGTCAATGAATATATTTTTTTCATCTTCTGTCGCTCATATATTCACTGCAAAGTTGTGGCTTGTTTGGTCAACATACTGACGTCTTCAGAATGACAGTGTAGGTCCGTCATCACGTCATATAAAACTGTATTACTAGGCGTACGCTCATTCTTCACGTATTGGGACGAAACGAAAATAAGTCTGACCCACAGAGCAGAGATCTTGGTGGGATTCACCATCCTATCCTTTGGTCAAGTCTTAGCTGAGACATCATTTTGAGCCTTCAGTAAGGACTCAAAGTCATGGAGAGAAGCAACTTTCTACAAAGGGGTAATAAGTCTGACCTACAGAGCAGAGATCTTGGTGGGATTCACCATCCTTTGGTCAACAAGTCTTATCTGAGAAATCATATTAAGAGCCTTTAGCAAGGACTCAAAGTCATGGAGGAAAGCGACTTTCCACAAAAAGAGTTATATATCGACAACGAAATCAAGAAAAGTGATCCTGATAACTCTCTTGATTTCGTTAAAGAATATGTAGAACAGATAATATCTGAAATTTTGTTAGGGAAGCAAATGAATAAGGATGAGCCATAAGAAATTTAATGTATCACTTAAAAGAGACTACTACTATAACTTATAACTGAATATTATTCTATTTAAGGTTTCCATTACGTTGCTGACAGGGACATAAAATTATAATGGTTTACAAAAAGTAAAATTCTGTATTCATACCTTTTACTAAGTATATAATTTTAGAATATATAATCTAAAAATATAGTCCGTTTTTTTATTATAAAATATAATTTTCCTACAGTTACATGAAAAAACGGACTTTCTACATAGCACTCATAGTTGATTCCTGCATTTAACAGTGATTTAACCTACTTAAGTCCACTTTATCTCACTAGTTTGACTTTTCCGCATTCCTGTATTTCGAGCAAACAATTCAAAATAGCGTGCTTGTAGGCACTTAATGTACTAAAAACAAGTTAGCAACAATAAAAACCAAGTTAATTTAACTTTCACTCTTCAATTGTTTTACAACTGCATGTAATTTTCATTGAACATGTTTTTCGCATGTATGTATCATGTATCACAATGTAAAACGAGTGTAATAATGGTGTTTGCTGTAAAAATTAATCAATAAACAATGCTAAATTGATCATCAGCTGGCGCAGTTGTCAATCCATTTGGCAAACCTTTGACGGGGGGGGGGGGGATAAATCAAATCTATCCACTCTACTTGACATTTTGCCTTAAAATAATAGCTCTACACCTGATCAAGCAACAAACATTAAGCACAAAAAAGTGGTGAGGGAACTTCCCCTCAAAACACATATATTTTGTGAACAGAGTATAATAGAAATGCCACCAATACGGACATGTGCTGCTTGTAGTAATTTGAATTTCATACATGTATTTTTTAACCCTATCTGGTTTATTGGATTATTTTCTACCAAATCTGTCGATTATGATGTACGGGAAATGGAAAGAAAACTCCATTTCCACGGAGGAAGATCCGGTCCAATTTATTCGTCTTCCTCTTTCACTCACTTCGTTTCGGTGAACCCAGTCCAGTCTAGTCAGTCTGCCTCTACTCCAGTCCAGTCTATCTAATTCAATTCCCCGAATTGCATCGCCATCGACTCAACGACTGAACGCCATGCCATGATCGCCATCGCCATCTGATCCGATCCGCCATTTTGTGTTGTGGATGACATAGTTCTTTCTTCGATCAGTGTTGTTACTTTTGTAAATTAATTTCAGTGACTCTCAGCTTTCTAAGGAAAGAATTTCAATTCCTCAGGTAAATATGTAGTTAGTGATCTTTTGATTAACTTGTCTGTTCAAGAAATATAGCTGAAATAAGCCTCAGCGAAAGTTGTAAATCTATGCCCGCTTGTAAGTCGCCGAACTGCCTAGGCCTAGGGTATGAAATGCCGGTAATACTGAACTTATTCTACCTATGTCATATTACATGTTTTGCCTTAGGTATCTACCAAAATTATACAATTTTAAGCACTTTTTACCATTGGCACTTTTGGTGGAAATGCCTACTTAACTTATGCTATTTCACCCTGAAGATCAGGAACAATGCTAGAAATCTGCGATTTTAGGGCATGAAAACCATCTCCGGTACAGTTTCTTAACTGTTCTATGCTAATATCGATTGAAACTATCGAATTGTGGAAAATATTAATCATTTTTACTAACTTAGGCCTAGGCCTAGGTCTAAGTCCCCTAGGCCTATCAATTATAAAATTAAACTCTCAATACCTAACCTAACTAACCAAACTTGCTGATAGTGAAATAATTGAATCAAGGTTGGGTACACTTCCATAACTTATCTGTTGGCACAAACAACCCAATGAGTAAGTTAAGTTAATGATTATTCGATTGTTTAACCCTTTGAGCCACGCAACAATAACTAACTTAGGCAACTTACAACGTTTTGCACAACACATCTGTAAAAAACTTCACAATGATATATCGTCGTCGGTAGTCTTACCCGAAAAATACATTGGTCATGTGAATTTTAGGCCTAATGGGCATATCGGTTGACTCGTTTGTTATTAACCCTCCCAGTGTTACTTGACGAAAATTCAACAAGCAGCACACTTTGTGTAGTGTTACTTGACGATTTTTCGACAAGCAGACATCGTTTACGGCGAAGGCTCTATAACTGACTGAATCGGATCGAACTGGATCGAGTTAGGTATCGTTCTTTCCGTTTCATTCTAAGCTTTCTCCAGAGGTCTGTCTCAGCGCTGTACGTTATCTGAGCCGATCGTAATATGTAGCAGACAGCTGACGTGCGTGTATTTGTAAACAGCTAGGTTACCCTCCGACCGATAACTGATGTGTTTTATTACGTTTATCATTGTTTTAGTGTTAAAAATCAAAAGTAGTGATATACGTGTTGCATTATAAGAAGATTTAAGTGGTTTTGAAGTGCTGGTTGATGATCCTGAAGAAGTGATATTGATGTAAATTATCAGCCAGATTCCTAGCTATGGTTAGGCTATGCATTCTTAGCTAAACGCTATGTACTGAAATCTGTTTTTTGCCCATAACTTATTTATTTGCAAATCTACTTCCTTATATTATTATATATTTGTACTCCTCATAAAATTTAGAACAAAGTGGCTATTTTCAAATATTTATAGGCCTATAATTTATACAATTTCATTGAGCGCGAACTTATTTTTTTTTTTAAATTTTTGAAATTATATTTTTTTTTTACCTAAAAAATTTTTTGTTGAAAAAATGTTCCTTATGTTTTATATATAATATTGAAGCCCATGATTTTCCAAACAAAATGGTATATAGAACATTAGAATTAACATTGTTTTAAGCTTCTCAGATCCGTTTTAATAAAACCTTGCAAATGCGCCAAAAATAGGTGGCCTAAACTATGGACACTTGGAGGGTTAACTTATAAAAAAACATCGATGATTTCAATCTATTTCTTTATCGAGTCACGATAAGTTATATCATTCCATGGCACTTTTGGGATGAAAATTTATACTTTCACCGATTTTTATTCTTGCGCACCAGGCCTACGCTTTGCCTCCAAGAAAGAAAACCTGGCACTTTTCAGACATAAGTAGGCTACCGGGTACCTAGTAAAAAACTCTGGCACTTTTCGAAAAGTACCAAAATAAATTTCTGGCACCCAAAGGGTTAATTAAACTTACTTAGGCCGATATCGATCGTTAGATATATCATTCAATATTTTCATTCGGTTGTTTGATCTATCAGATATGGAAGTGTAGGCTACCCTCAAGGTTTACTAACTTGTGCCTGATCGAATCGATAGTTATAATCGGTAATTAACTTAAGTTAATCAAGTTAAGTTAGCCCAGTTAAAAGAAACTGTGGGACCAAACTTCTTTTTTAATTTAAGTACCGGTAACTTAAATGGTATTTATCTCATTTACTTTAGTCCTATTTCTTGGCGATTTCAAACACTTTTTCCTCTTCCACTTTTTCGGCTTAGCCTACACATCTTACCGGTAGGCCTAAAATACTTATTTTCAAAAACTTTTGAAAAGGGTTTAAAATCTCTCAGAGGCCTAAGTTAAATGTTGGCACACTTTTTTGTGTCAAATAACGTAAGTTATTACTAACCTACAAACTGTAACTTAACCTTGGTTTAACTTAAAGGCTACCCAAAATCGGCAATTTTTGGTACTTTGTTAACCTAAGCATGGGTTTAAGTTAGGTCATTTTTCTTAAATATTTCAAAAAAAAATTGTAAAAAACAAAGTTGGGTGGGCAGTCAAAATGTGCACCAAACATAACCTCAAGTGATGTGCAGTCCCACTGACTACGCTAGAAGCTATTTCAATGAATTTGTATCAAATTTAGGCCTACAGTCCAGTACCGTAAGTGGAGCTCTGTTTTCGCCTTTTCTTCTTTCCTTGTACCAATAGGCTATTAGCCTATCTATTAAACATTTAACCCTAGAAAATAGGAAAGGATTTGTTGAACTAATGGTGTTTCATGGTTATATCGTTATAATTGTTTTTCATGGAACAACATTTAAACATGTATTTTACGTCAAGAGCAATGTATTTTACGATCAAAATTTATCCTTAAACAAGCCAACTACAACATAGGCTATTATAATATTCTACGTAAGAATAACATGGGAATTTTAAATTAATTTTTTTTTTTAATTTTCTCTGTAACCAATTATGGTACAAAAATACTTTAATATAGGCCTACTAAATTGCCTATTTGTTTTTTTTTAGCTCTTTAAAAAGGTCTGGAAAAAAATTGATAAATTGTGTGTTTTAAGGGTAAAAATGAGAAAACCCCATTTTTACCCCATAAAACCCCCCGTTAAACCCCGTTCCCAAGGTCCGATCATGCTGGTTCCCGAACTCATTCAAGTTTATCACAACTTACACCTTCAAACCAAATTTTATTAAAATCGGACAAAAATTACTCAAGTTATTGTGCGGATGGACACACACATATATATATATATCTAATATATAAAATTCTCGTGTCACAGTGTTTGTCTGCAAACTCCTCCGGAACGACTTCACCGATCGTTATGAAATTTGGTGTGTAAATTCTGTAGGTATGCGAATCGGACGTAAACTATTTCCCGTTTCGAAATTCTTAAAAGGGCTCCGCCCCAGTGGCTCTGGAGTTTCCCATGTTAACCTTTTGAGAAGTGGAATTAATGAATCTTAACAGCTGTTTCAATTAAACAAGTTGGTTCTGTTCTATGATGTTCAATAGCATTAAAGTTACAAGGATTACCAACAGGGTGCAGCACTATTATTTCTTTTACATTTATGACAACAGCTAATTTGCAACCAAAAGGTGAGTGAGCGTAGCGAACGAACTTCAACCTGGAGGCGAGTTAGCGTAGCGAACGATCTAACCTGAAGGCAAGTGAGCGCAGCGAACGAGCTCCAACCTAAAGGTGAGTGAGCGTAGCGAACGAGCTCTAACCCAAAGGTGAGTGAGCGTAGCGAACGAACTTCAACCTGGAGGCGAGTTAGCGTAGCGAACGAGCTAACCTGAAGGCAAGTGAGCGCAGCGAACGAGCTCCAACCTAAAGGTGAGTGAGCGTAGCAAACGAGCTCCAACCCAAAGGTGAGTGAGCGTAGCGAACGAACTTCAACCAGGACGTGATTGAGCGATGCGAACGAGATCATCTTGAAAATTAAACGTAACGGTACTTTCTTTCCATCGGTCTGTCTTAGGGGAAACCTATAACTTAGGCGATACGAAGTTCGCCGGGTCAGCTAGTATATATATATATATATATATATAGATATACTAAGCAAAGTACCCGTCCTTCGTACGGAGTTGGCATATAAGTTTAAAATGCGTATTGCAGTTATACTCAAGCTTTGCGTTTGCAATGGGAGAGGACAAAGTTTGATCAAATTTGCTTCTTTAAATTGTCGGTATACTAATGGTATTACACATCTACCAAAGCCATAATTTTCTACCACTTCACCTAAACAATAAAGAGAAATACATTATTACGAATTCACAAAAAATCACAAATTATTTTTGACATTAAAACATAGCCTAAATATAACTGTAAGCAATCCTACTTTGACAATTCTCATTGCATACCTATCACAGTTGTTTGCTGCTGCTTGGTTCAAATTAGCTGTTTACATGAATGAAAAAAAATTTATAGTGCTGCACCTTGTTGGTAAATCTTATAACTTTTTAATGCTTTTATCACTAGCTGTAAACCCGCGGGCTTTGCCCCATTTAACCCTCCGAGTGTCCATAGTTTAGGCCTTAATGTCCGCCTATTTTTGGCGCATTTGCAAGGTTTTATTAAAACGGATCTGAGAAGCTTAAAACAATGTTAATTCTACTGTTCTATATACCATTTTGTTTGGAAAATCATGGGCTTCAATATTATACATAAAAAACATAAGGGACATTTGTTTCAAAAAAAATTTTTTGGTAAAAAAAATTCATGATAGTAACAAGAGGAGAAGCTGGAAATAATGAAGAGTTTTTTCAAGTCAACAACCATGAATTCCAAAGAGTAAATAATTTCACCTATCTAGGCGTTCTACTATCTGACAAAAATACGGAAGACATGGAAATTCAGAATAGGATAAATTTAGCAAATAAGAGTTGGTACGCATGCAGTAAACTAATGAAATCAAAACTTTTAACGAGAAAGACAAAAATTAGAATCTACAAAACTATAGTAAGACCTGTACTTTTATATGGAGGGGAAAATTGGATCCTGAGCAAGAACTCAGAAAAGAAAATAATAACTTTTTAGAACAAAGTTTTGAGAACTATATA